ATAGGTGATTATTACATGTGACTGAAAAGGAAAGATATTTGAAACTGGGGGGAGGGTACAGTAAAGCCCTGTTTGTTTTGGTTCTTGCGAGGATACAAATGCAAGCTCTCCCCACTCCCCTCAAATGATACACTTTCTTATGGGAAATTAATAGCCCTCTCACCATACTTAATAGTTAAAAAGACATTCCAGAATGCAACTCCACACCAGAAGGCACCTGCAATTCCAAATCTCAGATATTCTAAATCTCTTAATATTGAGCACAACCGTGAAGCAGTAACTCTAATGAGTGAGCTCTAATGTACACAGAGTGTACACAACAGACAAAATATCAGCAGTTGAGCTCAGAAAACCACATCATAGAGGAAGGAGCTGGATCAATGGGAGGAAGACACTGTGGGGTGGGGTGAGAAGGGGAGTGTGTAGTACTCCCAGGAGAGAAAGAGCACAGCAAAAAAGGCAGGGGAATGAGAAAGGGAGTTTATAAGGATTTTTAAAGATGGTGGTACAGCTCTTCCAAAAACAAGAGTCACTGAACACCAAGTCCCTGTATAGGGCCTCTGGAAGTTCTTTGTGCCACCTACACCAGAACTAATAGACAAGGACAGAACAAAATGGGACCAGGGCACCCCCTGTGTGAGGAAAGAGGCTGGCAGTGATGAGCGTTCCTCAGGGGCCAACACAGTCTGAGGGCTTCACATGCCCTTTTCTTTGTCCTCACAGCACTTCTGGATATGGCACTGCATATGCAGAGGGTCTTCCTTGCCCACGCAGAGCAGCAGGTCTGGGACCCAGGGGGCTCCTGTCTCCAAAGGCCACCTCTGGGCCTCAGGGTAAGCTGCATTCTGCCTGGTCAGAGCTAGACAAACTCACGGTAGAGCAGGCTTACAAATGCTCGCATGCGCCATCTCATTGTTGAACAAACTCAACTTAGTCCACAGTGTGTGATTAAACTACTTTCAAGTAAGTCCCTTTTAATTACAGGTTTAGACTGTATTCAGAATACCCAATTCCAGTGAAAGCTGCTGGCTATTGTGACAGGAGACCAGAGACCACCAAAGGACAGACTTCCCTGAAATGTGGAGCAGACTTGGGGCTCTGGGATTAACAGTGAGTTTGAGAGGACCTCCCAAGCACGCAATTACTTTCCAGCACCTTCAGTTAGTCTCACTTTAATAATGATCTGAGAGATCCTGAGGATCAGAGAGAGCAGAAGGGGCTCCAAGGCCCCAGATGTTGGTCATTTAAAAATACTGTATAACTTCAAAGATTGCCTGGATTAACAAATAAGCCAAAATACTCGGTTCCATATGTGCAGAAACAATTGATGGCAATAGAGAAAAAGGACAAGAGAGAAGACAGAGAAAGGTTCTGAGAGAGAGACAGAAACAGAGGTAAGCAGAGACAAAACCAGAGGGGTGGGGAGGATATATTCACTTCTAGCACTGCAGGTCATCTAAAGCAAACCAGATTACAGGAAAACAAGGTGATTCCTACCACGCTGTGAAGATGAACCTTGTTCTTTGCAGTTATTTGGGAGTGTTATGGCAGCATTTCCGTGGTTACCCATGATAACACTGATGGGAAGCATTCACTGAGGCCCCAGTGTGCATCAGGTCTATATGGGGTCCTTGTCGGACATTATCTCACTTAATCCTTAAAAGAAACCTATGAGGTAGTACTATGGTTATCCCATTTTACAGATGTGGTAACAGTTGGGGATAGTCAGATAACCTACCCAGGTATGAATACCATCTAATGACAGGACCTGGGTCCAGTCCTGGGTCTTGTGCATTACAGCCATACTGCCAACCACTAGGCTCTGCTAACCCATTCTATATTTGCACCAGAGTCTGCTCTCCATGAAAGCTTTTCCCTCAGTCCTCAACTAAAAATACAGAGCCCCTACCAGTTTGCTCTTGTTTCAAACTTACTTAACAAAGAGAAATACTCTTCTGGACTACCTGGGAAACTGCATTTTTCCTCTCTCCTCTCCCAGTGTAAAGCAACATTTAGTTGTGTACATAGGAAGAACCAACCCAAACCCATTCATTACAAGGGAAGGCAAGTCGTATGTGCTAACTCTGGCTTTCAGCACATCATTGTATGTTTCCCCTGGCTACAAAAAGTAGAATTCCTTCAATAAAAACTTTCTATCTAAAAATAAAATCATGGCAAACTCTGCAATTACACTTCTGAGTTGGAGACGTTTGCTTTCCACTCTATTTTCCCTGAATGCGGAAGAAGGTCCAATTTGCTGGTCTGCTAATGGGTTGCGCCAAAGGCCCATTTGTAGCATAATGAACTGGAAAACCAAAGCTATGTAGGTTTGAATCACTGTGTGGTTGTTCCAGGAGTGCTGTGAGTAGTTTTATTTTAAATCAGCTGGATGCTACTTATCTCACCTGTCATTTGTACAGTGGGGCCCTAATCAAGGTTTGCCACACTCCAGCCCCAGGATCAGCAGACGCTGCTTAGAGGCAGATGTTGGCAATGTGCTCTGTGGCCAGTTTTCCTCCTCATGAGTGCACTCCCAAACTTTCCCCTTTCTTTGTCTCTCCCTTTGCTGTTCTGCATCTCCCAATTATAGGACACCACCATGCTTATTTGGGGAGTGCTGGACTGCCACTGTGACTTGGATTTATCAGAAAGGTTGCAGAAGGGTTCCTAGACACTATAGACTGGTGGCTCTTATTTTCTCAGCCGGTAGTTTCCAAAGACATCGTAGTATCGTAAACAGTTATACTCGAGGAGAGGTACACAATTAACTGGGGTTGATATATAATTTTGGTTAGGGGATTTTACATCTAATTCATCAGGGTTCTTTAAGGGACATGTATGTGCACCTCCAGGTATTGGAGGGAATGAATAAGATGATTATATGAGCTTTTAGAAAGTGTTTTACAATAATCAGAAGAGAATTTTAAAACACAATGAGCTGGGAAGTATGTTTTATCATGATTAGGAGTCTAGCCTAGAGAAAATAAACAGAAGATTGAGACCAGTTGATATAAATGAACAGTCAGATATCTAGAAATGGGTAAACATTTTTATAAATAATAAAGAGAAGGAGGTGCCCAGTAAACTCTTTGGGTTTGTAGATACCAACTCCCTCCCTATAAATGCCTACTAGAGTAAGTCACTAGACCTCCAGGAGAAGGCATGCAAAGTAACAGAAGAGTTTTTGTGAAAAGTGTAAGTTACATCATATAATATTCCATCATTATTATCAAAATTACGACCCAAGCAAGGGTCTTGAGAATCCCTACAGGTTATTCCCTGAAGATATTTAAGCCACTGCAATGCTTTGACTTAAAAGCATCCTCAAGATGGCCACTGGGGCTGAAGTCACCAGGAAGCCTATCAGAAATCTAACAAAGGCTGTCATGTGATCTTCTAGAAATCCTGGTCTGCCCCCACATAGAGAACAAGGTGTGGTTTTGATCCTCACACCCACAGAGGGCTACAGTAGATCAAGAAATTATCCAGAGAAAGCCAATCAAAAATCAAGGGAGCAGAAGTAATAACAAATAGCAACAACTATTACAGATACAACAATAATATTTGCTCTACACCAGGCACTATTCCAAGGCACTATTCCTGGTATTGATCCATTTAATCCCTCAACTGTCCCATAAAGTAGTTACTGTTATCAACCCCATTATACAGATGAGAAAACTGAGGCATAGAGAGTTTAAGTAGCTTGTCTGAGTCACGATGCTAGTATTTGCACCCAGGCCTTCTGGTACCGGATTCCCGGCTCTTGACTCAGGCTAGTTGCAAAATGGTAAAAGACTGAACGAAATTCCATGCTCTTCTTGGGGGCAAGGTTAAAAGTAATTTATCTAAGTTAATAAAACCAAGACAAGCCCTGATGGGGAAAACAGGGACTTTCTACCAAATTGTAGGTTTTTAAAGTCAGGATGAAGTAACTTTCAGACAAATAAAAGGAAAACAGTTTTGCACAGCAGAAGCGCATTATAACATTTTATTTTCCTCAAGAATTGAGCCTACAAATTCTAATAGACTCAGAAAGAGTGTTGGCCATCGATGATGTGTTACTAAGGGAAACAAGGTTGGGTCTGAGCTAAAAGAGGATTCCCGGGCTTAATGCCCAGAATTATCCGTGGTCATTTCTATTAGAGGCAGGCTATGGGACTGGAGAAATGTGGGTCTTTCCCAGTGGGCAGAGCCTTTGTGTAACCCACCCTTGCTGTGACTTGGGTCTTCTACCATCTCTTTGCCAACTTCATCTCTAAGAAGCTTCAGACCAGGAAAGAAGATGGTCTGTGGGTGTGACTAGCAGCTCTCAAGTCTGAAGTGACAGGAAGTGCTTGCCAAGTAATTCCAAGGGGCTGAGACCCATGTCAGCTGCAAAAATCCTGGCTGGGCCAATGGTGGCCTAACAGTAGAGTCACGCCTTACGGAGGACCTCTGTCCTGGAGAAAGCAAGTGGACCCAGAGGGAAGGTCTTGGTGGCCTTTGGGAAGAGCAACAATCCTAACTGTAGGCCCGGAAATCTTTCAGCCTCTGCCTCTTTTCCCCTCCGTGGGCTTCAGGGGGCCTCCAACTCCCCCACTAAGTGCCTGTCTGAGCAGTTGGGAGAACTGGACAAAGCACATCCGGCTACATTTGGGCAACGGGGGGACCTCGGGGTAACATGGTTTTATTTCTAGCGCCTGCTGATGTGACAGCTCCAGGCAACAAAGAATCCCCTCCGGTGTGTGCGCTCCGGGAGGAGAAGGCCTGGGAGCAGAGGTGCCGGAAGACGGAAAAAGCAAAAACAGATCTGGTAACACTAGGCTTGGTGAGTGGGATCCGTGGCAGGAGGCACTTGAAATATTAACTAGGATTGAATTGCTCAGTTCCGGAGGATGAGAGAGATACACGTGCTGACTGTTTAGCACAGTCCCCTCCGAGGCCATCAGCCCCCCATCAGCTACAGACATTCCTCGGCCCACGTGAGAGGTGGACCAGAGGCAATTTCGGCGGCTACTCACCTACGCAGTTATCGCAAAGGCTACAGTGAGAGGCACGAGGGGGCCGGAAAATCTTGCAGGTGAAACAGTACTTAAGTTTCACAGTCTGGCCATTGATGATGACTTCTTTGGTTCTGGGAGGTGGGCGGTACCCCCCTGAACTGGTGCCGTTTGCGATATCTGTGGAGAAAAGAAGAAAAAGAGCACACGCCCTTAACAGTCGCTTGTCCTCTGCAGGCTCTCGCACCTAGGAGAGAGGCCCCGAGTCTGCATTTCTAAGGGCAGTGGCCACACTTGGCCTTGGGACACGTACGCCTTTCTGGGAGGCACCTGACGCAGAGGGCCTGCTGTCCCACTGCCTTCCCGCTCCTTGCCAGGACTGGAGATGCCCGGACTATGTCGTGCAGGTGGGGGTGGCCAGATGACTGAGCTCTGGCCAATGGGGTTCGAGCACACATGGCCGGGCCCAGCCAATGGGTACCTCCCCGTGTCCCGCCCACTGTCTCCCCTCCAGGCAGGGGCACCTTGGAACCACAAACTGGGGACCCTGGATGGCTGTGTGGAGTAGAGCTGCCTCTCTGACCCCTTCACCCTCCATACTGTTACGTGGACACCAAATTCCCAGTGTTAAATTGCTGAAGGCCCGGGATTTATTTGTTACAGCAGCTAGTGTTGCCCTAATTAATACAGAGGGTGATACTGATACCAAGATCTATCTCCCACCTTGTACATTGGCTTCCTCAAAAATACTGGTATTGGATGGAGGGAATATAAATTATATATATATTCAAAAATACGTGCATAAATATACATTTAAATATATATTTAAAGGTATATTATATATACCCCAAAATATGTTTAAATGTATATTTTAAAAATAATTTCCATATTTTGTTTATTGTCTGACCAGCATCTTTCATTATCTTTTAGAACCGGTTTTTTAAATGTTGAAGAAAATACAAATATGTATATTTTTTAAAGTTTCATTTTATCTTACAATCTGGTTCTTGTCTCTGAGTTCACATTAGAATCACCCAGGGAGCTTTTAAAGTTCCCCTAATGCATGGGCCCAGCCCCAGACCCATTAAATCAGAATTGCCCCCAGGGTGATTCTAATGTGCTGCAGGGTTGAGAACCCCTGCTCTACAGGAAGATAAAACATGGGAGTTTTATTCTCATCTAGACCTCTCCCAGCCCTGTGAGGCCTGCCAGAAAGAATTCGGGGCAGCTAGCTGTGCAGCCAAGAGCAGGAGGCCACAGGGGATGAATAGCAAGAATATCTAAGGGCTTCAGCAGAGACTCTGCAGCCAATAGACAGGCAGGGCCGACCCTAGGGGCTGGAGGAAATCTTGGGAAACTTCATGGTGTTCTTGAAACAGAGTCAGTAGCATTAAAGGTAGCTGTCCCTTTTAATTCATACACACTGAAAGTACACACAATCAGACAGCAACAGTTGCAACATTTGGTAAATTTGCCAAGGGGTAGCAGTGAGTCCAATCACCCACTGAGGCCCCCACAAACAGCCTGAGCAGGAGTTATGGGAAGAGCTTCCGAAACTACTGATCTTTCTGTCCTGCCCTCAGAGAGTCTGATTTCATCGGCGGGGTACCTTCTGCCATCAGCGTGGTAAAAACTCCCCGGGGATGGTGGTATCTGCAGAGCTGCACCCTCTGCCCGCCCCCCTGCACGGACAGAATCCACCATGCACGCGTCATGATATCAGGGGCCCCTCACCCTTCACCCCAATCTTCTTTAAGAGGAGGACAGAGGCTTGAAAACCTGCCGCAGCCCTTTGGCCTAAGTGTTGGTATTTGTGAAAATACCAACCCCAGTGGTAGGGCAAGCATTTTGAGCGGTTACCAGCCATTTTCTATTCATGGAAAATGAAAGTTCTCCAAGCGGGTTATGGAAGGACAAAACAGAGAGTTCGGGAACACCTGAGGGAGAGAAGGTGGTGGGAGGGCAGGGAAACGGGAAGACTAAGGAGCAGCCCTCTGCTTTACCCCTTGGCTGAGGACAACCCTTCTACTTAGGATAATTAAACAGCTGTGGAGCCATCCCAAGAAGCCTGGGTGGCCTTGCCAAGCAGGATACCCTCTCTTGGCATGTGTCCCACCGGCCTGGCCCCCCAGTGGCTGCCCTATCAGACATCTCAATGGCTTCTGTAATAAGGAGAAAGCAAAGAGATGACATGGCTGTGTACTTCCCTAAGCATCCAGGTAAAAATAACCTGCTTTGAATACATCAAAGATAAGGTCAGCTCTCCAGAGACCGTGCCAACTGGGTGCCCCTGAGGCCTCAATTAATCATGACTCGGTGCCTCACTGGCCTTATGTCAGCCTGAAATCTACTGTATCAGTTCAGCTCTTGCAAACGTGGGCAGAAACCTAGAAAGCCAGATACAGGTTTAAAAGTAATAATTCAATCAATAAAATTTATGTTAATTTAGTCAGAAAAGTTTAAAAACTGAATTGTCAAGGACAGTGTTTTAAAAAGCGGGGATGGGGCGCCTGGGTGGCTCAGCTGGTTAAGCGACTGCCTTCGGCTCAGGTCGTGATCCTGGAGTCCCGGGATCGAGTCCCGCATCGGGCTCCCTGCTTGGCGGGGAGTCTGCTTCTCCCTCTGACCCTCCTCCCTCTCGTGCTCTCTGTCTCTCATTCTCTCTCAAATAAATAAATAAAATCTTTAAAAATAAAAATAAAAAAAAATAAAAAATAAAAAGCGGGGATGATGCACTCATCCACACTAGAACTACTAAAAAAGCCTGGTCTGAGTAGCAGTGACTTGGAAAAGGATCTGCTTGAACTTCTTAAGACAAAATAGTGATCCTGTAGTTCCAAAGCACATTTTGGAAAGATTAAAACTTTGATACAACGTGAACTGAAGGCTAGAATTCAACAGACATGGTCAACTGAAGCTTAAGACTTAAGCTAAACCCCTGGGTGGCTCAGTCAGTTGAGCGACTGCCTTCGGCTCAGGTCGTGATCCTAGGGTCCTGGGATGGAGCCCCATGTTGGGCTCTGTGCTCAGCAGGGAGCCTGCTTCTCCCTCTCCCTCTGCCTGCCTGTCTGCCTACATGTGATCTCTCTCTCTCTCTAATAAATAAATAAAATCTTAAAAAAAAAAAAGACTTAAGCTAAACCCCAAAACTCTTTGACTAAATATCTGGAGAGCTGTGCCATCATTAACTGACTGAAGGTCCACAGAACTAGAAAAAAAAAAAAAGTCGATTGACATTTAGGACATATGGTTGACCCTTAAACAATGTTGGGGTTGGGGGGCCGACAGTTGCACAGTTGAAAATCCACAGTTGAAAATTCAAGTATAACTTTCGACTCCCCCAAAACTGAATTACTGATAGCCTACTGTTGACCAGAAACCTTACCAATAACATAAAGTTGATGAAGGTGTATTTTGTATATTTTACACATTATGTACTGTGTTCTTATAATCAAGGAAGCTAGAAAAAAGAAAATGTTATTAAGAAAATCATGAAGAGAAAGATCATTTACAATACTCTTCTGTATTTATCGGGAAAAAAACCCCAACACACGTGTAAGTGGGTCCATGCAGTACAAACCCACGTTGTTTGCGGGTCCGCTATATTGACTCTAAGCAAAATACCATGCCGGGGGCTGTGGAGGACCCACACATGAACAAACACAGACGTGGAGCAGAGGGGCCAGCAAGGGGTGCTGCTGGGCTGTCTGACGAGCAGAGGCTCCTGGCCGCTCTGGCCACGCCAGTCCCTCAGAGCCAGCTTGCCTGATGCCAGTCTCACAACCACGCCAGGGCCTCCCATGGGGCACACACGGTCTTCCACGCACCTGACTTGCTCTTGCCATTCAGTCTTGCAGAGCCCGTGCCAACAGCATCGTGGCCTCCTTGCGCCCCTTGAATAGGCGATGCTGTTCCCTATTTCCAGGCACGATACCTTCTCCCCTTGGGCCTCCCTTCCTGCTGTCTGCGTAGATACCCGTCATCCTTAAAGGACCGGCTTGAACTTCTCTTGGTAAGCTGAGCTGTTTCCTCCTTTGGACTTCTACTGTGCAGTTCATGTATGTATATGTGATGCTCAATCACTAGGTCATGTTGTGCTAGCAGGGGCCAGTCCCGGGCTGGGAGCAGGGGCAGACTCGCTCTCTGCTGGCCATTCTCACAGGTCGGAGGGAAGACCTGGGACCTTGCTAGGGCAACCAGTACAAGGATCTGCTTTCGGGTGTCCCCCCCAGTTGCTGCTGGAGGGCAGGGACCAGGCCTTGCCCACTTGCATGTTCCCACTGTCCGGCAGAACATCTAGCACAGAGTAGGTCCTCAAGGCGCGTGCTATATGGAAGGCCAATAGTTCTGGCAGGTGGGCACCAAAGATATCCGGATGCCCAGGACTGGTGTCCTCCACACACACACCCCAGTCTGAGCGCCCCTGCCCTTTGTCCTCTGAGCCAGTGACTCTTCCCGCCCTGGGAAGTCCTCTCTCAAGATCTTCCCCTTCTCAAGAGGAGCTCTTGCTCCTCCCAAACGTGTCCCTAGCCACTGCTGGTCCTGAGGCCCATCCCCCGCAGCTCATCTGCGTCACCAGAGAGGGCCGGGCAACTCGGGCGGCCCAACGCCTCAGGGCCCCCCAAAGGTGCCGGGTTTTTTCACATAATAAATTCAACAGCTGCCCCAGCCAACAGCGTTCAGGCTTGCCTGCGTCCAGGGTAGATGTGAATAATAGGGCCTTGAAACGCAGGCCTTCCAATACCGAGCACAAAGTAAGTTTCTCCTCAGCATTCAGACTGACGCCAGTGGCTGGTCATAAAATCTGTTCCTCGTCCCTGCAGAGGACGAACCCCTGTGGCCTACCCCGTGTCACAGGGCAGAGAAGGTGGTGTTCCTGTTCGAATCCTCAATTACTCTGTGTTTTTGGTTTGGGTTTTTGTTGTTGGCAATAATTGTGCCTCTGCTTCTTGGGGCTGCTCTTTTGTGGTTTAAGTACAGCCGTTGAAAAAAGAGTAATTGAAGTCTGCAATAGCTAATGGATAAAGAACACTAGAATTTGGGGGGAGAGACCTCTAACAGTACTTCAAGGTTATATGAGTCAGTATTTCTTAAGGACATTTTTATACGCGTTTTGAAAGAGAACTTAAAAGCTTGAAATGGTCTTTTTCTTCATAAAGGGCCACCCCCCTGACCCCGGC